TCATATATTCATAACAGTATAGTGATATAGTGCGTATAATATTAGGGATCATCTGTCAACATAAACTATAATATATTTATATAATAACTGAATTATTGGTAGTCATAATAAGTAAGTCACTATCTCGTGCTTCGCTCTGCGTCAGATGTGTACTCGTTCAACGCCAATGATTAGCCAGCGGGGAAAGTGCTGTCAAGTATCAGACATGAACCTTGCTTTCTACACACATTATACATCAGCATCTTCCGCCGCCCATTGCTCAGGGAAAATCCCAAAAATACGGCCACCTCGGTGACGAAAGCCACCCGCTTGTCAGCCAGTACATACAGGTTACATTATATGCTTCAATTTATTAGATTTTAATTAATTTATTAAATGCATATTAATCGAAAAGACATCGTTACATGCATCTAATTGCTGTTTACGTCTTCTTTATGTAAAATTTTAAATGTGTCTTTATATTACTTTTTGCCCCCAATATTCTTTTTTTTATTTGCTGAAGGTTCTATGTGCTCCTGCGCACGCTCTCTCTCTCATCTCTCCTCTCTCTCTTCTCTCTCTCTCTTTCTCTTCTCTCTCGGGCTCGCTCTGTCCGCCGTCATCTATCTATTCTATTCTATCTATCTATCTATCTATTATCTATCACTATATATCTATTGATCTTATCTATATATCTATCTATTATCTATCTATCTACTATCCTATCTATCTATCTATCCTTATCTATCTATCTATCTATCTAATCTACTAATTCATTATCTACTATCAATATTCGATAATCTATACCTACTGAATCTATCTACTCTTATTCTATCTATCTATTCTATCTTATTCTATTCTATCTATCTATTCATCTCTACTATCTCATGAATTTCTTATTTTATTCTCTCTCATTTCTATCTCTTTCTTCTGCTTTCCCCATATCTCCTAATGAGGCCTAGTCTTCATACCTCCTCTACATGACCCATAAGGTGGATGGTTATCGCACTTGTAGTATCGCTGTCACCCGTCCTATTCTACACTCGGCCTTTCGGGATGGTGGGGTGTCGTGGGGATGGAAGGAGAAACAGGAAATTACTGGGGAGGCCTCAGCGTCCGGGTCCGGCAAGGTAACGAGGGCTGCGGTGCACAGTGCGTAGTCGGTCCACGGGCTGGTGCGGGTGGCCTGGCGGTTTGGGTGGTGCGAGTGGCGCGCGGCCGCCGCGTGGTGTTGTGTGGGTGTGCGTGCAGCGCGGTGTTGGGTGTTGTGCCCCGAGGACGCGTGCGGCGTGGTGTGCGTGGGCCGATGCGTACATCACATATTACCGCCTACGGCACGCTCTACCACACTGACACACCAAATATGTATATATATTATATTATTAGTAATTATGACTAGATACTTTAATTTTGTCAGGTGTGCAGGTAGGCGTGGTGCGGTAGTGCATTTGTGTATGCCCAGAGGAGCATTTGGACGGCATATCTACAGGAAATCTGTCAGGCGAATAATAGGGCGAAGAAACAGAAAGTGGTTAGCGGATAAAATTTTAAGACTTTTTTTGGTACGTAATAGATTTCGTATTTATTTAGGATTATAATCTTATCGAAAACCGCTCAAGTGCCTGTGGTGGCATTTCGTCTGGAAGGGGGGCGGGCCTGTCGCCCTGGATTAACCCCGTCTCTATGGATTTGCCCGGCAGTCGATGGCCTCTTCTAATAGATATAACAACGTTTGACAGGTAAACTGCGGATAACACCACCAAAACACGTGCACTGGGCCGAACAACAACGACAGGTGTGCGCGGCAATGACCAACGGGCACGCTGTACTCGAACTGTCACCGCGGCCTTCACCGTGACGTACACTCGCCTTTGGAATTTTGGAGACACGACGCCGCCGGAGGAGATCGGCCTAATCGAAACTTCTTGGGACGCTTCGCTTGCTGGCCACTGATAAGCTGACAAGGTCTGCTACTGCGTGCTATGTGCAGTGGTCTTTTATAACATTTTTGGCCCCACGCACCCCTATCAGACATTTTTTGGTCATACCAAACCCCCGAAACAAAAAAATTGAAAAAACAAGATTTATGGAAACATGTTGTCAATACTCAGTCAAAGGGGAATTCAGCTGAATTGCTATCGCAGCCATCCAGCACAATCAAAAAATACTTCGCGCCAGAATGCTTCTGGGCTGTGGGCAACCAAATTTCTGCATTTATTGCCCGACAGGCGGGTATTTTGGCCCAGACACCCGCTGGATAATTATATAGAATTAAATGGATTTTGTTTGATTTAGCTGACCCCTTTGATGACCACGGAAACCACCCCAACGACCCACATGGGGCCAGGTTAAAGAACCGCTGTGCTAGTGCGTCACCGAATCTATCCATCAAAAACATCGATACGGTATGAAAATGGAAGACGATTGCTTCTCTGCGTTGTTGATATATCCAACGCTGTCGTTTCGACTCGCGCGAAATCGATTTTTTTCAAATGTATAAAAACGCGTTTCTAAACGTTGTTAATAACGTTTAGACTGCCTACGAGTACGATTCATGATATCGGGCTAGAAATGGTGTAGTATTTGAGTGTTCGTGATGCAGACTTACAGTTTCACTCCTAACTTTATAACTTTATATGCGGCGCAAGGCCACGCGAACGGACGTCAAGACACAACCATAACCCACCGCCTAGCTTAGATAAGCAAAATTGAATTCTTGGGTGTTATGATTGGTGTAGAACCAGTTCTATACTTGTTTTTAGACGCTTAACAGTGTGATTCATGTCGATATAATGACCAGTTCTTTATCTAATGGGTATTATTACTAAAGAAACCCTAGCTGGATATCACAACTCCAGATTGGTGAGATGTACTGGTCAATCAATGTCTATTTAAATAGACCACTACAATAATGTAATTAATTTAGCTTAATACCAAAATTTAACAAGCTGGAATTAATTTGCTTTTGCCTAATTTCCGTCTTATTAATTCAGTAATGCACCGTCACTGTGAATATTTACAGTGGTTATAAGTTGTTTTATTAACACAAAAAATGCAAATTTGTGTCGGCTAGCAAAATAAAAGCCAGTTCGTCGCCAACAGCATTTCAGCTATAACTATAATTTCTCTTATTTTATTTCATTTTATAGCGATCTTGTTCTTATATTACGTTATAATTGTAACTGCTATAAGCAACATCAATCTTGAAACGATAGCAGACTACAGAAACTCAATTCCAATGGCAGTCACACAGGCAAGTGATGAAGCTCACCAGAGTCCTGAACACTGATAAAATACATACGCACTGCATGAAATAGATAACATCTGCATAAATAATAATCAAGAATAGAATAGATTTGGTAGGTTAAACGTGCCAAGGAAAGTAGTACATGGTAAAGGGTCTGCCCAAGCAATCTGGGGGATGAGTCAGACCAACATCATATATCTATAGAAACGAATAGCAAGACTTACTCGAAACATCAATCTAATGCAGTCAACCAGGCAAGTATGAAGCTCACCGAGGACGTCTCTAGAAACACTGCATAACATAATAGCCACTGGCAAAAACCTGCATAAATAATAACACCTCTAAATAATACAACGATATACAGATAGAAAGACTTTCGGTAGGTGTAAAGTTGCAGGAAAAGTAGTACATTGGTCAAGGGTTGGCAAGGAAATTGGCGGGGTTAGTTAGCACACGATCTATCTATACTACGCGAATAGCAAAAACCTGACAAGAAAATCTAATCTAAAGACTACATAAATGCAAGAGTCTGCCTGTAAACGAACTTTAGAAATACACTAACACACACGTAACAACAAACATAAACAAATCTATAACACAACATAATTTTACGCAGGAGAATTGACTGAATTCATGGTAAACTGCACTGTTTACAATATAATATATATAATTATAATATTATATATATAACAAAGTCAGAGTAATAACGAACATAAGTGCTGTCCAATATTTAATAACAATATAGTAAAAAAACCTGTGTATTGCCATCTGGTGATTTTCTCCTTTTCTCACGAAGAATATTGATGCAATGCTGCATGCTCAATCCAGGTTTATTGTCAATGCATTCCATCCACCTGTAATTAGGTTAATCATGTTAATAACGACAAACAAAAATTAGGACATATATACATATATATATTCTACACTAAAATGTTATAGCAGCCAATTACAATGCTTATAAATACAATGCATTTTGTCTAATGCAGTATATTCACATTCCAAAAACACTTTTTACATACTTTCTGAGAGTTCTAGGGTGTGGCAGCGGCAAATCCAATGTACCCCTTAAATACTCGTACGCCTTGGGAGATTGCAAGTGTAGTGTTATGGCAAAATCCCTTTGGTCGTGTGTGTATTGTTTGGCAGGTTTTTTAAATAATTCCCAAGGAATATCTGAAATAAAAATGCACTTTTCAGAAACAATTCATCTAACACATTACTAGATAATTATAGGACACCACTACCTACAGGATTAGCTTGTCTGTAAATAGTTTAAAAGTAAGATTAGACTCAATTTTAAAAGTTTGGTACCTCCAAAGGATTCCAGCTTTGATTTTAACTCCATATTTATTAGGTCTTTTGCATATAGCTCTGCCAACTGATTTTTACAAGTTTCTTTGCATCTCTTTTCTCGACGGGCAGTGTTTTTCAGCTTCTTTGCGATGGTATCTAGTTTATCCTCCATTTCATGCCACTTTCTTTTCCATTTTCGTGGAGAACATGAGTAAGCATGATCCTTAAAACAAAATATTTCATATATTACATTGTCCAAATACAATACAGTCACAATACTGTACATTATTATGTAATTTTTAAATGATAGTCAGGTAAATATATATATATAAGTGATGTCCCGATGATCGATTATAAGCGAAAGTCAGTCGTTGTGCAGCAAAAGACTAAGCGCTCGGCTCAATAAAATTGGCAAACATTGCTGAAATGACTCATAAACTCTGACAAATTGACAAATTTGTGTGTGATTTTTTTGGTTACTTTACAGCTTGGAGCAGATGAGACTCTGTTTGTGGCAAAATGTCTGTGACATCTGCCTTTGTTGAATTCTCGGTTGTTCTTCCTTTGCATGGTGTCTAAAATTATAGAATAAATATTCCTTAAACGTTATAACTCTACATATTGCATTTATTTCAATATTATCTCTTTATATAACGTAATTTAAGGAGACTGTATGCATGATTTAAAAGTTGGTATATCCACAATTAAGTTATAAATAATACAATAATATATAATAATAGTTAAAACTATAAAAAAACATATCTTTGGATGGTTACCTGAAGGTGTGGTAGTAAATTGAAGAGGGTTGGCACTGCACCATCTTTCAATCTTACAATTTGACCAGTTCGGTCAAAACAGACTGCTGCAAAATGATCACTGCACAGCACACAGTGTTTTCCCGGCTCTCTATCTCGCTGACAGTTTCTCACACAGGCTGCATACAGCTTGGGGAATTTGTCTTCACTTGGAAACCTAAAAAAAAGAAAGGGCAGTCATAAAACAGATATAGGAGCTCAATGGAAAATAACTTTCAACTATCAGTTCATGACATATACAACTATTACAAGATACAACCAAGATACAAGATGACATTGACAGATGCAGACAATTTCTCAATATTGACAAATGACAATATTTTAGTATATGCCTACTTGGACCTATATGCGGCTGCTTGTACCACAGGGACTTGGGGCGGGGAAAAAAGTGTTATATATATAAAGAGGGCTTCTCTTTATTTATATAACACTTTTTTTTTGCCTCAAGTCCCTGTGGCCTGTACTGGAGGTAGTGATGAAATGCCACCGAGTGCATAGATGAGCATATATACATTTAATATTGAAGTATGAAGAACATATTTCTTAACTGTCAAATAACAGGAACAACGTACACGGGACGTCAGGAGTGAGTGACAGTAGAGAAATAGGGCATGAACATATACTAAAATTACTATTACTATTAGTATTACTTGTTTTTAAATAGTCAGATTAGTTAAGTGTGCGACTTTACACACATTGAAACTAGCACTATAGCTAGCCTGTCCACAAATGGATATTTTTATATTTAGGCACTAGCTATGCCTACGGAGCCTGTTGTTGTCCAACTAGATACGATAACGTAGGCCTGCGGCTGCGCGAACACTGAGTTATCAAGTCGTATCTGAGTACGCGGTATGCCATTGCCTTGTCATTTGCCAGTGATTTGGTACCATTTTGACCTGGTTTGTGTAAAAACATGGCAAAAATTACTTTATGACTCATACGCGGTTAGTACTAATTACTTGTGAAACGATATTCCCTTGGATTTGCTTATGGCATTTCGGTAATTGGAACATAAGTAAGCGAAACACTGTGTACCTTGAGACGCCTTCATCTTTCCAATATGGCGGCGCGGCGGGCCGTTTATTATGGTTACCGTTATTATGGTTACCGGTTATTATGGTTACCGTTTATTACCGTTATTATTATTATAATATTGTGGCGGCGCGGCGGACCGTTTATATGCGACACCGCGCGCATATATTTGGTAATTAATTAAATTAATCGTGGTTAAGTAAACTCAAAATTCACAGAGATTATAGCTAAGATATGTGCCTATAATATCTAAAATTTTTAGAAATGTAACTCAATTGGTTCGCGAGATATCAGAGGAAGTACACTTTCCTAACGTCCGTTCGTCGGTCTATTGCCCTAGAAAACGCTGCGACAATCTGCGACAATCATCTTTCCAATATGGCGGCGTGGCGGACTGTTCAGTGCAATGCGCTCTCATTGGCTAGGGCCTATCTAGTTGTTATATGATATCTATGGGTACAACGATAAATTTTAACGCTATGATGTCATGATCGAATTACACAACTCCCTCCACCAGAATCGCCGATGACGACGACCTACCTGGAGGTATCGAGACAGCCACAGATGTACATGGTCGTGTAAAAACCTCAAGCGAATTTCCACGAAATAGTCACTATTTATCTGCCATATTTACAATTCATCAATCATACGTTGTTTACGAGCGATTACAAACCGAATAATACCGAATTCAATGGCGTCGCGAAAGCTAACACGCCACGGCGCACGCTACACGAGGGATGAGCACGCACGGGTTTTCCTACGCACGCACGCACACACGGGTTTTCTCACCGCATTTCAGGCAGACGCGTGCCTTAACAACCTTATGGATTCATACTTGAAATCAGGAGACTAATCGGACAACGTCTAAAATCAAATCAATTTAAAATCATACAGATCGCACTTATACAGTCTCTTTCAGACAGGAAAATGCAACATCAATGAAACTGATGTTACAAACGTTAGTGGTGTGGTTATATACATGTTGTTATGTTGAAACCGGTCAAATATCCAGACACCAGGGGTAACCGTTCTGATCTCCAGACACCTGGGTAACCGGTCTGATCTCCTGACACCAGGACACACGCTGGTCGCTTCCCCTAATTAATTACAACAGCAGCTGCACACCACGCCCACAAGCATTGCCGTAAAACTGATCTCTCTCAGGCCTGGTGCTTAAGTGGGATCCACACTCCGCAGGGATGCTGACTGTTATTTATACCATAGCAGGACTAAACAGCTTTGTATACAAACACTAACGAGAAAACACTGTATGCATAATGTTCTTACGCGCACCACGCAATACCAGATCTCTGCACCGATCCTCGCAACACCCTGCAACCCGGTAAATCTCATCCCAATTACATTAGAATGACAACAGCGCTTGGCGCACCTACAAACCATATTTTACAACTGCGTAAGTAATTAAGGTCCGGGTGTATGAAAGTGATTTCAAGCCATCTTGTGGCTGATTAAGAAATGACTATAATGATGGGGATATAGCGTAGCTCCGTTTTCACAGCTCATGAATGGATCTGGCAGATCATCCTGCTCGCTAGAGTCTGGTGTATCAGGTGGCATGTAAGTTGATAGTGATGCCTTGACCATGGTTGTCTCGTCGATCGGTACGCAGTTCCCATGCATCGAGACCTATAATAGATTTCGAGAAAAATGAGAGAATTTAGATTTATCCATATTACTTACCAATGTTTAACTGTATCACATGATACAACTTGCGATTAAAACAACCATGTAAAAATCATAATAAATTTACCTGCAAAGCACCGCAATGTGCAATGATCTTCTGGAACACAGAGGAGAAGATGCTGGCAGTTGGATTGTTATTCCAGCCTCCTGTTAAAAAGAGAAAGTATATATTAGCTTAGAAAAAAGCAAGTTTAACTTTGTTTTCAGATAATACTTGCATATATGTGACCAACTCAACTTTGCATTAAATAAGTATGGAATACTGTTTTCAGATATCGCTTTATTCATACCAGGACGACATCACAAATGATGGAGATCTGTAACGCGTAACATGATTAAACTGAAGCAGAGATCATGTGGTTAAACAAACTGAACTGGTACAGTCACAGTACGTTATTCTCTAGGCATAATTTACCTGCACGTCTGATGGCATTAAAGAATAACTCCAAGTGATCTTGGCTGCACTTGTATGTCAGGAAGTATCGTTGTTGCTTGAGGAGATCATGTGATAATCCACACACAGAGTTGATTAACATCACGAATCCTTTTACACACATTCCCCTGAAAATATAAATATCTTGATTAAGCACATTTAGCATGTTTATGAAAACATAATCAACGATGATTTCAATATCGTATATTCAATATCAAGTTCTTTTGAATTCTCAACATTGGATGAAATAGAAAAGAAATATTTGTAATATTTTAAAATCATCAAGTACTCGTAATGATTAATATTAAGAAGCGACTGGCGTGCTCCAAAATAGGACGTTTAATATGGGAGCATAGCATTAACAACTACACCCAATTTCAAACATGTGGGTCAAACGGTTCCTGAGTTATCGTTGACCGAAGCCAAATGTTGACGGACGGACGGACGGACGTACGACGACCCATGGCAATAGCTCAGCTTGACGATGTCAAGGTGAGCTAAAAATGGAATGCCACAACTTGAACAATAAACATAGAAACAACAAACATAGAACTTTGAACATGAGTAGAGATTAGTATTGGCCATTCAGCAATTTTTTAGTGCTACCTCTGTGTGGACACCAGAGGTGCATGGACCATCATTCAGGAGCGTCAAGCTCAGAAGATAACTCCTTGACTCAATCAAGAAGTTAGTCACATCCAACAGATTTTGTGGATTTATTGCGCTCTTGAATCCTCTGGCTTTAGGAGATCGACTGTTCAAGGTATCGAACAG